TTACCTTGGGGGAACACATTGCTTCCCCTCAGCCGAAATCCCACATTTAGCCTCATTATCAGCCTAAAAAAGTCTTTAAATATTGCTGAGGCTTTGCTTCGGTTTAACATTTCAAAAATCTCACATAAACCCATTTTCACTAACATCACATACATGTGCATTGCACCATCCATATTTCATTGTATAATTACTCAGTAGTTGATACATTTGGTTCTGTGTCAAACATCATGCTAACGTTTTTCTCCTTAGATCTTTTTAAAAAGATGTATCTTCATATTTCAAAACAAGACTATACAAAACAACAGAACTATTTGAAATTAAAGTCTGGCTCCTGACGTTTACACCAGTCAGGATGTCATGTTTATGATCTATAGTCTTTGTCTACCGTCATTCTAAGAACATTCTGATTCACACAGAATTCAGACAGGACTTTTTTACATGCTGAAGCCTTGAAAAGAGCTGCCTGTCATATTGTTAGCTTTGTATTACATTTGCCACTATTAGTAACATTAATTAAAATACAGGAATAGCAAACAACATATAATGATGGATATATTTTTTTTCAACTACAGTCCATCAGAGGTCCGGTGATGACGCACAATGCAATTATCAACAGGTGACGTTAAGGTGTGACCTTGCTCTAAGCATACATAAAATGTTTCAGTCATTATGGTTTGTGTGTGTGTTTTAACACACACACACACACACACACACACACACACACACACATGCAGATACACAGTTTACAATAATTCAAGCATTTACCCATCCCTTTTACGTTTAATTACATTTCGTCCTTGGAAAGAGACGACACAAACATCACATGTTCAGTGTCAGGCTGATCTTTTATATTCAATTTCAGGTCATTATCTGGGAGGAACCATCCCTTGCCTCATTAATTACACAAATTATAATTAGCTAAATAATGCTGGTGCTGTACACTACTTTGGCTTCAATTTGATGCATATATAAGCAGTTAAAGGCCTATAAAGTACTCAGACATGTATACAATAATAAGTAAAGGCCTTAAAACGGTGTAAATATATTTGAAGTTTATTAACAAAGGTTTCTCAGATGTTTTTAGCCTTGTGCACACTTTGGGAATCCCTGGCCTAGTGTGTACCCTTATTCCTTTCACCAAATGTGAGTGATACTGACTAAAGGGAGTTTCCATAAGGCTTGGTCGATCTAAATGTGTGCCCTGCTCAAGAGTTAAACCCCCACATTGGTGTTCCTGCCGAAACATTCTCATCATCTTCTGACTGTTACTCCTCAGACTACAGTCGGACCATTAAGATTTCAGTCTGTCAGCAGTGCTTCTATGTAATCATTCGGGGTGTATAATAAAGACACTCCAGAGAGCAGTTAAGGTAGGACAAAGTTGAGCCCTATGGCATAAAAGTGGGGAATGTTTGATTGTGCAGAGCAGATCTGCGAGTGTTAAGACGAAACGCTATCAAGTGAGAGCTGTTCCGCTTCCCTCCCTAATCCCCCCGAGGCTGACTGGTTTCTGCCTGACAGACACACACCTCAGGCAGATAATTTAACTTTGACAGTGACATGTCCTCCAGAAATAGATTATCATATGTATGCATGTGCACATACAAGTCACATGGTGCTACAGGACTGTTTACCATCGCCCACTAACCTCATCCACCATCTGCATGTTTTAACCAGAGACTACAACACATCAGTTCACGAAGAAGGACCGTCCGTCTGAGCCTGGACTCACACCAATGACCTTCTTACTACAAGGCAGCCGCTCTCAATGCTACACCACCTTTCAGCCCTGCATACCGATGTGTGACTTAGACGTGGATGTGAAGTAGCATTTAAATATCTAAAGATTACCACCAGTATAAGGGCCTCAGGAGTAGTGTGAAAAATACTTTAGGGTACATGATGTATAGATGTTTTCAGCTGCTCAGTTAAAAGAAACCTTGTGGAAGTAGCACAAAGGCGCCTCAGAACATTCTAGTAAGTCCAGGTGAGACGTGTCTCCGATAGCATTTTAAAAAGTTTTCTCAAAGCATCTTTATTGTGTATCCAGCTGTGATACGTTTTACTATGACTTTTTTTCTACCTTTAACAACTCGCCATTATGAAATCAGAGGAAACATTAATTATTGGAGCTTTGCAACAGGCTTTGATCTCACTCTAACAGGCTTTGATCTCGTTCCATCATGCCATTCTTTTTTCTTTTCCACATATTTGAAAAAAAAACAACCCTGTTTTCGACGAGGCAGACAAGCAGGTTGCGAGGCCCGCCTCCTCCAGAATTGTTAAAAAAAGGAATTTTCTGATGGGAACAACACTTTTTTCCCACTTTAAACTATAAAGACATTTCTAAATCTCAAATTTGGAAATGACTATGACAATATGTTAGGATCACGATGAGGATGAAAAAAAAAAGTTGTAAATTTCCATGTTTCTCATTCAGATGCACTTGTGGTTTACGTTGTGTGCTTTCCTCTTGTCTCCTCCAAAACACATCATCTTAACTTATGACTCATTGATGCACAACTTGATTATTGCCAACTTTTTTGCACTACAAGTTTATTCTTGTAATTTTAGATATTTTTAAATCCTCAATGGAGCCCTAATACTTTGTCCTAAATCCTTGAGTTATAACTGGTCATAAAAATAAAAACTCTAAAATTCTAACATCAACTCACAATGATTCAGAAAGAGAAAAATAGCCTTTAGTCCTTCTCCGTGAATAGGAGAAATGCGTGTTAGTTACATAAAATGACCTTTCAGACAAGAGTAAGATTGTTCTTTGTTTGATTCTGCCTTTTAACAGAAAAACAGCTCTTAGGCCCATTTTAGGCAAAACTCCATCATAAATGCACAAATCATTGCACAAATGTGTAATGACCAAAAGAATACAGTACTCTTAGTGTGGATGAATAACTGAAAAATCTAAAGAAAACTCTAGCCTGAACCTTCATTATTCACTTATAATAAACCACGTTTATTTGTGACATCTTTTCCCTTTTCAATGAACAAGGTCCCTAACTGCATTTATCTGGTTATATGAATGTGGCATTTAAGATAAGAGTTCACTGAATTCTCTCGATGGTGACGATGAACCTCACTGTTTCCTGCTTCCTTTATCTAACAAAATATACTGTCTGTTGTGGATGATATAAAGCCTCAGGGTTTGGACTCCCATTGTAAAAACATTCTGTATAGTATTTAAATTAAAAAATTTGGAAGATAACTACAAATGTGTTCAGACTTTTTTTTTTGCATTTTCTCAAATTGTGAAAACAATACAAAAATTAAAAAAAGATCTTGTGGTATATTGTGGAAAACATACATATATGAAATCTACTTTGGGCCTATAATAAGAGATGTGTGTATGTAGATGGTAGACAGTGTCAGTGGTATGACATTATGGGTTCAACAGCTAACTACACTTAGCGTCCACTCCTATCATGTTGTATGCTTTGTCATTAGCTTTTCAGGAAATTGTTTTGTTATTTTCACAATAAATAGAAGAGACTGGGAACTACTGTTGAGAACATAAACATAAAACAAATTATAAACTATTCAGCATAAATCCGGTGAAATTAAGTAAATTCAACATTTTCCTGAAGACATACATCTTAGTTTAGGTTATTCTGTAACTAAGGTGACAGGAAGTGTTTTGTTTTGTCCATCTATTGTACAGAGTAATACCACAGGGGAGACTAACAGTGAGGCAGTGCAAATGTTGTTAGTCTCCATACTGACATAAAAGTAATGTCGCAGTAACAAACTTAACTACTAACTACTGCCAAACATCCAGGTTCATTACTGGCTCTCAGCTTTATTCTGGAGCTTCTGGTTTAAATCTGGCTTAAACATACAGTACATGGTTGGACTGGAGTTTGTTTTCCAGTGTCCTGTCAGTTTACCATACCTACTAGAATACACAGGGCTTAATTTAAGCCAGATCTTGCAGGAACAAGATCCAGCAGCTCGAACGTTGGATCAGACGTTGGATCCTCCGTGTCAAAATGCAAAAGAAAAAAATCTCACTGAACCCACCCAATATTGGGCCCAATATTTAACCAAATAAATCCCAAAAGCAAATAACTCTCTTTTTTGTGTTTCTTCTCTGACCATAGAGATTACTGTTGGCTACCTGATACCATTGGCTTCAGCTGCAGTTACAAGACATGTGAAAAACTCTCTGAATGGGGGAGAATCTTCACTGCTACATTTAAATCATGCAAAAAGGTTTAGCTGTGAGCACTCGATACAGTGAGTGGTTCTTCCCCTCCTGCTTTTTTCATAAAGGCTGAACCAAGTGCAGTTTTGAGACGTCTTAATGATCTCGTTTCCTTAGTAATGCTTAATACAGTTATTAAATCCAAGTTCTGCCTGACTGATGTGATGTTTTGAGAAAGTTTTTTCTGTGTTTTGATTCCACATTGAAATGTAGCTGAAAGTAGATCTAGGAATATGATATGAATTGGTTGACTGTTCTTTTTTTTTTTACTCAGGCAGTTTAATACTGGCTTCACTGCTTCTTGTGAGTGTATGTCTTCTCATTTGAGTTCACACAAAGACTGGATAGTGAGGCAAATCTTTTTTTCAGGTGCAGTTTCAGGGTTTGTTCTTTATTTCTGAGGGTTTCTCAGATTTTCCAGCAATTTCATGGAAGCTTGTACTTTCATGAAAGAGAAAACCATTCCTTGTTCTCTACCTACTAAGGCATGGCAGTTTGGAGTGCCACTTCACTTGTTTGTGCAGAGGATACATGCGCTGAATGACTCAGGTGAGCAAGGAACGACACGAAAAACAATCCTAGCCTCAGTGAATACACAGTAGGGTTACCTGCCACTTTGCAAAGTCACACGTCACTTTGGTAGCCTGATATAGAGCAAAGACAAAGAGGAGGATGAAACCTGAGTACGCCTGCCTGTTGTTGCCATGACGACAGCAGTTGTTTCCGGCACCTTAGGTTAGAAGGAGTGAGAGAGAGACATAAAGACAGAGAGAGAGAGAGAGAAAGAGAAAGAGAGAGAGAGAGAGAGAGAGAGAGAGAGAGAGATATCAGGGGATCAATGACCAGAGGCTCCACCCATTAGGGGAATTTACAGGTCCAACCTGGCAACTCAGCAGCACGGCAACCACATTTAAATATAATCGAATGATTTTGGTACAACAACAAAAATAACCAGCAGTTAATGAATTGGCTCTGCCCAAAGCCTTCAGCTCTCACTGGTTCGGCTGATTCTTATTCCTGCTCCATCGCAGCCTCGGCATGAGGCCTTTTCACAGTCTTTCATGGACGCACTTAAGGGTGTGTTGCTATTGCTGGCAGGTGTAGGAGCAGGTTGAACAGGTTGTTCCCTGAATGCCACTCTGCTAGGCCCTCCTCCCTCCCTTCCAGCTCCTCTGTCGGAGGCCAATTGCTGATTCACTCTCACATGAGGCTCAGTGAAGAGATTTTATTGCTGGTGCACCTGTTCTGATCTGATACAGCCTGAGACTAAGGTAAGAGTTGACTGTTGGAAGATTTCATTGTTTTTCCATTTTTTTTTCTATACTTTTGATTGGCTGGGGAACAAGTACGGCTTTAAACAACAGATTACAAAGAGTTTTCCTGCCTACCTATAATATAAAATTTGTGTCATTTTTAGACTTGTCAAGTGCATGTATTAATAAATAAATATATATATATATACATTCAATCAGCAACCGTCACATGAATAATCCATTTAATTACACTAGGAAAAATTAGGGCAGCATATTTTATACATTAAAATTAGAAAAGAGCGTGAGGCTATGTGCAGAAATACCTCACAGAACTTTACACTCAGATTTACTGGAGCAATTAGTGAATTCAGGCCAATAGTCTTAAACAAGAAATCCGTAGTGTATTTTAATATCAAAGTTGAGCAACTCCTCCATTGGCACTAACTGAATTAAATATTTTTAACTATTTAAAGCACATATTTGTATGTGGTGAAGCAACGATATCTTCTAGCAAAAGCAGGCCTTACCACAGGGAGAGTTCGAATGTGTCTTTATGTGACAGCACTTCCATGTTTTTCTAAGACTCCATGTTTATTTATAAGATGAGACTGGATTTCATTTCTATGGAGTTTTAACCCGTTGACGTGAGAACTGGTACAGGCTCTGAAATGCCGGCTGAATGCAAACTCACATCTGAGCTCCAGGAGCTGGAAGTCTATTTCTTTGCCTGATTCTCTGGACGTGCCGCAGCACAGAGACTTGTTGGTAGGATGCTGTTGACCAGGACAGTCAGTGAGCAGGGCACTAAAAGGTGCCGTGTTGGTAGAAACTGCCTGAATATTAAGAAGTCCTGGAGAAGGGATTCACGCTGCTTTACTCGGTGTGTTGTCAGGTGTGTGGAAGTTATGGTACCATATCTCCACAACTCTATGTTCAACACAATAAGGACTTCCTGACAGGGTTACAGTTCCAAGATTACTGATTGTAGACCAGATTTACAGTGACCAAAACAAAAATGTATAAAGCCAAACATGGGCTAATACACAATTGAAATTATACATTTGAGTTTAGCACTGGGTAGCTACTTACAACTAATCATCATAAACCGTGATTGTAATAAATATGATTAATAATGATTGTAATTATCACGATTACTCATGATTAATCTAGATAAATAAACATTCCTTACAGGATCGCAAACGACTAATTTCTCTGAAACAGAAATAAATAGAACAGCAGGTAAATCTTCGTATTTGACACCAGTTTATATTTGTGATTACAATTGTTACTATAAAATGTCAAGAAAAATATATAAACTTTAACTCAAAGTTCTGCTTCAAAAAAGAACATGTTCAGTTGGAGTTCAAGATCTATTACCACAGGAGATTTTACCATCTTCTAATTTTACCAAGAAAAGAAAGCAACAGAGAGATTCCTCTCTGTCACATGACAGTGTCCATTACCACTAATCCTATATACTGAAAGACAGAATAGGATCTTCATTATATAAAATACTGAGAAAGGAGCAGCAGAAACAGCTGTCGGTTATAGTTATACAGTACAGATAGACAGTATAGTGATGAGGGTCATGGGTTTAATACTTAAACCCAATGTGCTCTTTAGCGAGACATTTGACCCCTGGTGCCCATTTTATTGCAGCAGTAAGAGTAACTGCGTCAGTGAAATATTTCAGCATGAAACACAAAGAAACATCATTATTTAACTGTTGACATAAAAAAAAACAACGATTTTATTGCTACAAATACAGTTTGGGATACAAAGATAGTGTGCTCATTTTTAAGAAAATATATGAAGTTAACAAATCAGGGTAAGCAGTAATTTCAGTATCTGCTTCCTTCTGTTATTCACTACTTTGCTGTAGAAATATATTATAAATATAAGTCTCTGACATGTATCAGAAATACATGTACGATAATTAGCTCACACAAACCCCCATTTCTCACACCTTCCCTATGTGCTAAAAGATTACAAAGGTAGAGCAAGGTTTTAGAGTCATGTGATTCTCAATTGTCACCCTTTATTGACTCATTTAGTCTCTGTAGCATTTATTCGACATGATCTTTTATCAGCACATGAACTTTACCACTTCCTCCCAGCATTAAAATTGGAGAAGTCACACTTTTTTTTTAATCTCCATCCGATTTGATTCCATTAAGCTTTTCAAGCACATGTTGTGAATGTGCCAAAGAAACAGGCTGACAGAAACCTTCCTGTTGTCATGGCTACCTAAAATTGTAAAACTTAACCCTCAAAAAGATATGTTGTATTCTCCTTTATGACAGTTTATGAATTTACATGATGGATGGTTTTCTTAAAATAGTCCAAACAACTGAACACATTTAGCTTCATTTTAAATGTTGAGGTCAGACTTCGAGACATGAAAAAATAACCCTGAACAATACAAGATAAGTGAATTAATAAACTACTAAAACCGAGCTGATTAGAATTGCTAAATAAATTGGTTTTCCATCAAGCGTGGTCTTCTTTCTAAGAATGAGGCAAATAATTGTTTCCTCATAAACAGAATTCCATTTTGTTGAGCAATAACCTAGGAGATGAGACGGTACTCTGCCAAAAAAACTAAATGAAAGAAAAAACACGCTAATGAACAATTTTCAGCTACAGACTTTTAATGTCTGGGCCTAAAAATAAACAAGTCTGTTCATTATTTTTGCTTCCACTGTGTTCTAAGCCTCAAATTGTTCACCCTTCTTTGCCTGTTGTGATGGATTGAGCCATTTTCTTTAATGATTTCTTCTTGGTGTCGAATCATCAACAAACTTAACTGTTTGATTGATCCCACCGTCGCACAGTGAGCTGTGCCATCAACAACCCACAGGGTTTACATTAATTTCTCACAGAGATGTGAAAATACACAGGAAGAAGGACATGGCCACACAGGACTATTAGGATTCAAACGCAGCAGAAAGAAAGCAAGGTAAAAAAAAGAAGAAAAAAAAAGATCGAGAAATTGCCAATTAGTCAGAATGAAGTGATTAATATTTGATTAGTATGCTATTTGACACTTGAATGGTATTTCACGAATATAAAAGCTGCACCATAATTTAATAAATTTAGCTTTATTTGAAATAAAAAAAATAAAGCTGCATCACGTCCCTAAATTGAGTAGAATTTTCAAAATGTATCATTTAAACAATTTAAGCTTTATTAAATATAATACAAATACTTTGGGACTGTACAAATAAATGCAGTCATCGTGTTACAAATCAAATTAATTACTATGAAATGAATAGTGTTTATTTTTAACTTGAAAATTTATGAAAATTTTGAGTTATAATTTTACATATTTTTCCTCGACATTTTTCCATATTAATAATTACGGTATACCTTTTGGAATAGAACAAATGAAAACTGATGATAAAGAAATACAGCTATCTGCTGCTATTGGTCCTTCTTTTTCAGCAATAAGCAGAAATATACAGTACATATATTTTTTCTCATATTTAGGAATAATGATTTCTTTATTAATCATGATTAATTATAATGAATTACGTTCATGACTGATCATTAATCCACGGCTACTATAGGAACTATAACCACATAGCTCACATGTGTCAAACTGAGGCCCGGAGGACAAATCTGGCCTGCAGTGTAATTATGTTTGGCCCACAAGATCATATTAAATGTGTACTAGAGTTGGCCAGGCAGTATATAGCCCCTATGTTCTGGTAGGATTTGTAGTATTAGTGGTGTATGCGCTATGTTATAGCATATACATTTCGTTTTTTTGTTGTTGTTGTTGGTCTGTGAAAAAGAAATTTAAATTAAGAAGGAACTGAAAAAGCTACAGATAAAGAGACATAACAAGAAACAAATACTACAGATGTGTGTTTTATTTTAATTACTTTAATTTCTCATGTGTTTATAATATTAAGCTTATTAATTATATTATTAATAATATTAAACTATAAAGTTTGTTTTCATATAATAAAAAAAATCTACAATCATATAAAATTACATATCTGTAGAGAAAGGAAAACATGCACAATTGCCATCAATTTTCCAATAAATATTAAGTTTGGCCCGCAACTTCATCCCAGTTTTTAATTTTGGCCCACTGTGAGTTTGAGTTTGACACCCTGTCATAGCTGATCTCTGCAACAATGATTATCAGATGCCTTCTGGTATTTCCCCACTGATGGTTTGTGATGTAGGCTGCTTCAAAGAAAAACATTTTCTTTTCATGTTGGCTATGTGTTTCAGTTCTTCAAAAAATGTTGTGTCGAGTAAAGCAAGTAGAGCAGGGTGAGTGGGCATTAGAGTGGCCTGAAGGAAAAAAAAATGAAACTGCAATTATTTGTATTTCAATGCAAAGCCAGGGGCAAAACACAAACCTCTGAGGGCGATTATATTTGTTCACCCTGTCAACATGTCACTGATCTCACTGGAGGTTGTCCCACGACTCACAGCCTAACCATGCACAGAGGACTGTCTTTGAAATCACCAACAGCCATCATCAGGAGTCTACGGTGCCCATTGGTGTTCATTGCACCAGTGGTTGGACATTTTCTTGTAGAGAAGGCGAGAAGAGAAAGGATCAGTTGTTTCAAGGATTTTCAATATGACTTGTTAGTCCAGATGAGCCATGCTCAAAAGAAAGGTCATTCATGCTCCTGAAAAATGGCCACAGAAGAGATATGTGTTATAGATCATTGGCTATATGAGTGTGTGATTAACGGGAGGGTTAGACTTCCTAGAGTGTTAGACATTATAGCATGAGCAGGTGATAAGCCGACATGTCAAACAAAGAGAAATTAGTACAGGTCTTTTATCTTTTACCCTCTCTCTTTCTTTGTTTTTACTGTTTTAAGAGTATGTACAGTAGAGTACAGTTTGTGAATTTAATATCACACTCTATACCTGCTGCTGTAGAGAAACACAAAACAAAACCTAAAATAACTGAGAACTGTGTTGGCAGCTTATACTGATAAAGTGCTGTGTACACAGGTGCAGTGTAAAAAGGTGTCGGAAGATATGAACTTGAAAATATAAGTGAGTATATTATAAAAAGTTAGGAAATTAATTTTGAGCTATTGGATATACAGTACAAATCAATGTATGTTCTGACCTGAAATATTATTAAAATTATTTAAAATGAGTCGATGCCCCTCCACCCCATTCTTTGTGCAAAGTTACATTTGGAAGTCAAGCAGTGGCTAGTCAACATCAGCTGGAACTCTTGTTGCCCAGGGCCAAAAGCTTGTCTTGTTCTATGGTCCCAGTTTTAGTAAGTTTTCAAGGACTTGCGGCTTGCTGAAGTACTCATTTTGCATACAGTTTTATAACTGTAGTTACCGTGGGACTGTTGTTGTAAAAAGAACAATGCAGTAGGATTTCCAGGCCCTGTCAGGTACTGTTGTCCGAGATGAACTGTATTAGGTTGAGGTGCAGACATTTTCTCTGCTATGTTGCAGTGGCTGCAGTGAAACCACTACACACCGTCACTAACTCCTCATTAATAGCGAGCAACAGTGAAACTACTGTACATCATGTATGGCACAATCTGTTGGCGTTAAGTTAGGCTGCCCCTAAGAAGGCTAAGTACCCTTAGTTAAACATAAGGTTTTAAGAGTCTGAGATACTGACAAGGTTTTTTTTTAATAAGAGCTTTTATTTCCCCATGGCTTAAACATCAGTGTAAAAAAAACCTAAAATGTCTGGCTTATCATCGACATGTGCCGTTTTATAGAAACTAAAAATGAATTAAATATAATATGCTTTTACAATAATGGAGTGGTTTTTCTGCTGTTTACAATAACTTTCAAGAAACGAGTTGTAGAATTGTAAAAACAACAGAAATAAATATAATATATAATATATATTATATATAAATATTATATATAATAATATTCAATAAAGCACAAATAACTTTCAACTGAGAAATATTCATTGCTGTTGTGTCTTACATTTCAGAGAAAATCCAAAACAAAAATGAAAGTGAATTTAAAAGTCACATCAGGCCTTCTTCTTCTGATTGCCCACACATTTACCCTGACATCATCGCAGGAACCAACAACCTTATCTGGGAACACAATCGACCAAAAATGGCTTCGTGAACCTTTAAAATGGGTATCTGGAAGTCAAAACTCCGCAGTTGAAGGAGGAGAATATGACTCTGCTGCAGGAGCTGGAGCTAACAATGACGACAGCAGTGGAGGACCATCTGGATATAATCCCAGTTTCAATGAGGAAGAGGAGAACGGATTGACTCAGGAAACTGGGGGGAATGAAAACTCTGATGATGCCAGCAGTGGAATGTCTCCTGACAACCAGTTAGAAATGTCAAACACCACAGTCTCTACAACAACCACGGTGGAACCTCAGGAGAAATCTGATAACTCCACTGAGGAAACATCGGGGGATGGCAGCAGCAATGATTTAGAGACTACCAATACAACAACGACGACAACAACGACAACAACAATCCAACAAGAACCCAATGGGTCAGACAACAACACAACACCATCCAACTCAACAACTACAACTACAACCACTACAACGACAGCAGAAGAAAACAACCAATCCAACACGACATCAAATCCTCCTGCACAGCCCACAGAAGCAGGTGCTGCGTCTACAACCAATGCTACACCAGAGAATGCCAACGACACAGTCTGGGGGGACAACGATGAAAGAGGTACAGGCAAAACCCTAATGTATCACAGTTTCATGACAACTATTTTTATGTCTTTGGTTATGACTTGTGTATCCTTGATACTTGAAATGTCTAAAATTTCCCAAACAACGCCCTGCTCTTCTGAAGGCGTTGCATAAGGATTGACTGATTGCTGACAAGGGACCGTAGAGAAACATGTAAACAGGAGATCCTTTAGAGATGGGCATTTTTAGGTAACACTAGCTTTGCTGCTAAAGAGCACATATATCACTGTTACCTGCCGTACACATTGTTTTTCCTCCCAATTCTTGACCCACATCCACCTGTATATATATTCCCACTGACAGAGCACAAATGGCCCTTCTTTCAAAGGAAAAGGTTGGATTGGGTTTCAGGTGCTATCAGTGTGGCAAAGACTGAAGGGATCCATTACATCCACCTTTATAACGGGACAATGAAACCCTGTTTTAGTGAAAAAACCCCCCCCCCCCAAAAAAAAAAACAAAAAAAAAAAAACAGTGAGGCAGTCAGGGACTGAGGTCAATGATACTCTTACTGTGACTCTCTGGTTGTGTTGGCCGGCTCTCTAATGGAAAAGGGATTTAATTCGCAATGAGATTGGCCTGGTTAAATAACTGTTTAATAATGATGTATCTATCTATTGGTCTGCCTGTTTAATTGTCTCTCTTTCTGTCCGTCTCTCCATCCTTCTATAGTTAACCCAGTCTTTGTGAAGAAGCATTAGCAACTTTTTTTAGGAAGCCACATACTATACAGTGAGCTTAGCTAAGCTAATACTGCAAACTTAAATAAATTCCTTCCCTTTCGGAACAAAATGCACCACAGCAGTCTTCAAACTTTAAATATTGCTGCCAAGTGGGCCAATTGTTCTCCTGTAAGAATTTCCATCCAGACATGACACAGTTTCTTGTTTTTTTTTTTAATAGTGTAGCATCACTAAAGTTGAACACCACACCTCTTACTTCCTGTGACCTATTAAAGTGACAGAGAAAACTTTTATGAGCCTTTTTTAAAACACACTTCTAAAGACACTAATAGTAATACAGGTAAACTCTGCATGAAGGAACAATATCATATATGTTTTATTTTTGTGTTGTGACACAAAGACAATGCCACCTGCATAGAACGATTCAAAATAATTATTTATTTCTCCTCCTCCTGGCAGCTGATTCCTCCAGTGAATCCAGTGATGGTTTGGATTCAGATTCAAAAGGGAGAAAAAAGAATGGAACATGGGCTGCAGTGCTGGGAACAGGCTTGGCTCTGGCCATTGTTGCACTGGTGGCTTACGTCTACATGAAGAGGAAACAACAGAAGGATTTCTCTCACAGAAAACTGGTTGAGGTGTTTCCCACAGACCCAGGTATGTACAGTATAGTAAAGATCCACACCGGACATGAGATGTTTACTGACATACAGTAATTGTCAGCGGTTGGTAATAAAACTACAATGTGAAGAAACAAAGAAAAAAGAATAGATGGTTACTGATTTGAGCCAGAGGTTATAAAGAATGTTGTGAGTGTGTGGTTGTGAGTCATTGACATCAGATGAGCACATATTCTCTTACAATCTCTTCATCTGTGAAACAGCAGCCTGTACTGACACATATTTAATTGCATTTATTGTTTGATTATCCTCCTGTTTTCAGGAGTTCTAATTTCTCCTACTTTTCTGTGATTGGCCATCGTTTCTAAATGGTGATGTTTCGTCAAAGTTTAGTTTTAAGGACATTCACAGAGACATGGTTGCCAAATCAGGGTTTTCAAGCATTACTGGGCTTGTTGATACCTGTGGGCTGTGGTTTTAATGGTTCATGTTGAAAGTGTAGTCGTTTATTGCGTGACACTTCTGTTCGTCAGGTCTGTGCCCCAAAAAACAAAAAGTCTACTTTGTCTGGGTGAAGAACCCCTAAATCATGGGGTTTCTCAATTCTCCTTCCTCTGTAAACACAGGGAACACAACTAAGCTGATTTGCAGATCAATGAGTGAAAAACTCATATCAACAATGACAGGAATGAACTGGCTAAAACAGACATAAAATGTTAATCACAGACTGGGAAAAAGAGATAATGTTAAGGGTCAAGGTTCAGAGGCTGTTATAGTTAAATATACACATATTGTGTAGATCTTGTTCAGTGAAAGTAAACAGTGTTCCCTAAAATTATTTTGCATGTTTTTTTTTTATTATAAAAGAGCCATTCGGGCTAAAATAAGGAATACAACACGTATTCTTTTTGTTAATGGTTTTGTTGTTCACGCTGTTCATGGACCACATTTCAGAGCACTATGACTTTAGCTAAATGCAAAACGTAGCAAAAATATCACTTTATCAACCAAAGAACATTACTAAGAAGATTATATTACACCGAGTGATTTGCTGTGATACAGTCAGACTCTAATATTTAATCTGGAAGTTGGAAACAGAAGGCTTAAAAAATTGATAATACAGTTTACAGTTTAGGCCATCATTTTCCACTGTGCTCAGCACTGCTGCATCACTTATTACATTTCCAGCTATAAAATGTAGTCTAGACAATCTGCCTTATTTTACATAGCCATAAGTCTGTGTGAAGGAGTTTGTGTCTTCAGAGTAATTAGAAATTATATATATTTTTTGTCAGTTTTGTAGAGTAAAAAAAAACCAAGACTATTGATGAACAGAAGAGAAATCCAATATGGGCAGGTTAATCATTTGTCACAGTCAAAATTTTAAATTCATAGATCAGATGTTGAACTGTAAAACTGTCAAAAAGTATGTAACCCCGCCCTGGTCTGATGACTGCTGGGATTGGTTCTTGGATAAAGCGTACATTGTAGCAGTTCTAATGTATGCTGTCTCTTGTCTGAAGAGAAATCCAATATGGGCAGGTTAATCATTTGTCACAGTCAAAATTTTAAATTCATAGATCAGATGTTGAACTGTAAAACTGTCAAAAAGTATGTAACCCCGCCCTGGTCTGATGACTGCTGGGATTGGTTCTTGGATAAAGCGTACATTGTAGCAGTTCTAATGTATGCTGTCTCTTGTCTGATCTCAGTCCTCAGGCTGGACAACAGTGGACCCCTGGACCTGAACTATGGGGGTGGAGCCTATTTCAACCCAGGTGTCCAGGGTGACAACATCCAAATGACCAACTATCCAGGAAACTTTAGACAATGAGAAAATCTTCCATGGACTCCCTTTAAGAAGTCTGTCTATTATTCTGTGGGCCTTTGACGGACAAGTTACAACGTGGAGAAAAATTAGTTTGTGCTGATCTTCTGTAAGATTAGGAATTTTTTAAGTAGAATTATTGAAGTGACATAGAGGGAGGGAAATCAATCTGAAGTATGCTTCTACAGCCAATTTAATTGTCAGCCATTTATATATGTTGCCAAAGGGAATACAGGAACGTGAGTATGAAGGGTGTAAAAATATCATGTATTTATTATAGCTTTTGATTTAATTCTTTTGGTCAGGAACCATGTAATTCTGTTGAAGAGAAGCACAGACACCAGCCAATTACATGATCCGTAGAGATGAGAAGAGGAACAAAAATTGTTACTCCTGATGATGCAAATCTCTAGAGCGGGCCGTTATATTGCTGCAGCTTGCTAAGTGAGGGTTTTGCAACAGAATTATAAAGCCATCGCGAACAATAAAATGATCTTTTATTCCCCTTCTTAGATGTAGTGATAGCACGAAGGAAATCATTTCTGTTTGAGGTGTGTGTTACAGATATGCCGAAGGTGACGCTCACACCGTCGAACCAAAGATTTCATTAAGTCTCTCTTCAAACCAAGAGAGGTTGTGGGTTTGTTTTTCATAAACTGAGGCTTGGGTATTCATCAAGGGAATTGTGTATTTGGTCTTAGAACTACATAGTAGCACCTTAAACCTATTTACCGCCTTCTGAGTAACACCCTCTAGCTTTAAGCTGCTGCATTCATATAACATGAGTAGAATAAATGAAATAGTAACTTTACGGGAAAAAAAAAATTCTATCATTATTATTCCGTCCCTGTCTTTGACTTTGGGCTCCAACCTTGGGCAGGTGTGTTAAACTTGACTGAAGCAACACACTTTGTGCTCAACAATCTTGTCTTCTGTCCAATGCTTTCCTACAATAAAATGTACTATAAGAAACTATTATGTTATAAATTAAACAGAACTTAACTCATTTTGACTCATTATTGAAGACTATTGAATTTCTATTGATAGGAAGAGTCAGTTAGTCATTTGTTGGGATTGATAAGCACAGAAATATTTAGGCACTTAAGAGATGCTAATTTGTATCAACAAATTAGTATTACCATGACCTGACAAGGTCATATATTATGTCGCCTATAAAGGTGCAGTGCATAATATTAAAGGGGGTTATTTGTACCTACAGAAATAGTATTAACAGAGTGGAATCAAGTAATTGAGTCTTTGCTAAGGAACGTAAATTTTTCACCGCAGCAGCCACACAGAGAGGTTAATTCTGCTGCCAGTAAGGGCAAAATTAATTTGAATGAAATTAAATGATTGGTATCTAAATTGAGACTGTGTCATATTTGTTATTGGCTAAATTAAAATGTGTTTTCTTCAAGCTAAGCCACAGGGAATGAGTTTAACTTCAAACCCTGAAGTGTTGTAATAGATAGCCACCGTCTTTATCAGATTGTTCACAGCACAGTCCTATTTTCAGTGTAAGACAAGAAGATGAAAAGAAGAAAACGGAGACCAAACGAAGGGTCAAGACAACTGTTTAAATGACACAAGTGTGCATTTGGTTGAATGCAATAGTAACAGATGCTTTAATAATACTACAACTACTAACTAAACGGCCATTAGTCGACAATAACAACAACAACAACAAAAGGGATTATAGTAGACTTGGTTGGAATGAGTCATCTGGCCTGATAAACCTCAAGTTCCAAAGTTTAACTTTACAATAGAATAATTTTGGAAAGTGCTGGCATATGGAGCTAAATGTGCAGCTGGTGTTTTTGCCCCTTTTGCCAAATCCTGTCTAACTGATCCACAGATTTGGAACCTGGTGAAGGAAGAAACAGCTTGAACTCCAGTTTCATAAAGAATTTAAAACACCTGAGCAGCTTCTGACACACTTGGAAAGTGCTGGCACTTTTTTCTCCATTTGAAGAACCAGATGGGAACAGCGTGTGAATTCTAAACTTACTCAATGGAGTCTTCTTTGTTGCTGTCTCTATAGCACTCCATGCCATCAGATCTGGAGGAGCCAAATACCTGTAGGTGCACAGAATAATTAAATCTGGGGTTTGCATTGATTAGACAGAATGACTGTTTTCAGTCCAAACAGCAGGCTAACATTGTCCCTCGGTCACTGCTGCTAATACATTAACCATCACATTGGCTTCAGTATTGTCTGTCATTGATCTTTGTACACACTGGTTCCTGTAGCTGCTGGGACATAGGACGAGGATCTAAAAGGTCACTACCTCCTTTGACACAGCCCAGTCTGGGGTTGACGAACAAATATGCAGCGCTACCAAATATTCATAGGAGAAGATTGAACAGTTATCTGCATGGACTGGTGAGGAATACTGAAGCGTGGTGTATAAAAAGACACTGTACAGCTACTGGCTTTGCAACCTTACTTTACTGAGCCCCAGCAACGTTAACCTTTCACTTAACAAATCTGTGCAGATGTGTGGAAATCTTGTCACGGCCACCCCAACGGAAGATTTGGCTTCATTTCCTCAGGTATCGCTCACACACAAAAACCAACAACCAAAAAACAAAAGTAGATGAATTGTACATCAGACAAGCTTTCCCTTCAATCTCAGGACAGTTTTCTGTGTTGTTCTGATATAGTGAATGCTGTCAAAACAAACCTGTAACAATGTTCTATCAAATTTACCAGATGCACCCTGGGAAGAAAATAACTTTTGACTGTTAAAAAGATAAGAACTAAAACTCTTTAGAGAGGCAGATTGATCTAAGTAACAAGATGACACTCAGAATAGAAACTTCCCCAGAGGCTCAACGTTGTGAATTCTTCTGATGTTGATCCTGCAGTAAGAAGTGATTTCAGAGTCAAGTCCAACCATCAGAGGCAGAATATTTAAAGGGTTTTTTTTTTTTTTACATCTCTTTAACAAAGGCAAGGGGGGAAATACAAAAAATGAAGCCTTAACAAGTCTCTGGGTGAGTATAATTTAAAGGATGTGAAAAGACTATAGCCCTGATTGCTGCTTTGTGAGAGGCGTTTTTGCCAAGTCGTGAATATACTGTAAGATACAGGGATGAGGGACTTTTTAATCCAGTGAATAGCTGCAAGGTTCCAGAGTGACGCATCACAAAGATAACGATCAACAAACTTTATAATCAACCCGTTATGACATCATAATAAGGTCAGGTGTTTGCTCTCCTTCGTCTGTAATGTGCCACCACGTCATCACACTGGTTTAACTTGCTTCCAGCACTGGTTTGACCAGGTTACCAACGCTGGCATAGTGTGGAATATTAACACGGTCAGAGGTTACAGCTGAAGTCAGTTTTACACAGGTGCTTAAGGCAGATGCCAGCTTGCTGCAGTTCACATCACTTGGCTCATTTCCGCACCCTTTGAAGCACGAGTGTCCCTACAAAAGTATACAAACGTCAGTGGAGTGAGTCACGGCTGGAGGGAGCAGATGTAAGCCACAAGATCATCAAGTGCTTCATTTACCTGCTGTGATGAAAAGAAAAAAAAAAAAAAGGACCAGGTCGACATGTTCACATATCTGAGTGTAGCTAATGCTCTTTAATGGCATTAAATCAATTCAAGTCTAATTTCAGACTATAACCCTGAGCTTAGGCAAGGATGAGAACAATGTCATTAATTAGATTGTTAATGAAGTACCTGCAGAAACGTTTGCATGTCCTTGATTTAAGCAAATTAAACCACTTGCTTGATGTTGATGGCTTTGAATATTTCAATTATGTTCCTTTCAAATTGGCCCAGTAATTCTTTTCTTCTCAGCAAGATCACGACATTTGTAATATCCAAACGATGTCTCTAGTTTAGCACAAATAGCAACTGATTAGTGTCGGACAAATTTAACCTCCACCCTTTAACCTCGTTTCTACAGTGTCATTAACGAAACCCGAGGCTAAACTACAGCATTACTGTGATTCTGTGAGCAGTAAAAGAGAGAGTTTGATTAAGATTTTGAAGACGCCTGAGGACGAATGTGTCAAACTAATTAAAAATTCATTTTTTTAGTCTTTGTATTTAAGGAAGGAATAATTGAAAAAAAAATCCTTAAAAGGTATCTTTCGGCCTTTTTTATAAAGTTAAAAGCAGATTGTTTACTCACAAATAAGCAATATAGGACTCAATCGTGATCTTTCTAAAATATACAAACATTAATAAATAACAAGGATACATTTAAGTTAGTCACTCAGAGATTTGTTAACTTTTTCTTCTCCCCAGACTTTTTTTTCTTATTTTCCTCTTTGCCTCCTAATTTGTGAGGTTCAAAAATATAGTATTATAAATAACTAACAACAATAACAATAAGGTTTTGAATTATATATGTGTCCTGACTGGAATGAACACGCATGCATATGAAACAGAGACAGTTCGGAGTAAATCAGTAAGGATTCTTCTATAGTTTTATCAAATATAAGGGAGAACAATAAGGAGCCAACCGTTTTTGAAACTGTAGAAGACGTACTCTTCTACCCTTTGAAAATGAGTTCAAAGATGTTATGAGTAAAAGGTTAATGTTAAAAAAAGAATTTCAAAAATTGGAATGGGGCCGACCTGGCAAGTGCGTTGGCGTAGTGGAGGGAGGAGAGGCAGTGAACTGAACCACCCTGAGCATCAGAGGAGTCATTTTGGGAAATGTCAGGTTATACACCTTGGTGCTGCTGGCTCACATGAGTGTGACAGAGAAGTGCCAGTCACATGGCATTATCGATGCACTGGTGGCTGTAGAACATGAGCGACACAGTCCTGTTACCAAATGTGTATGTGATAAACCCTCTGAGGACACGAATTTGACTCTACTCTATACAGATCTCTCTTCAGCTGCAGAGTTTTGCTGTGCTCGTTTAAATGTAATGACATATGGAACCCTTGAGCATGTTCTGATGGCAGAAAAACAAAATTAAATTTAAATGTAAGACAAACAGTACATTTACATTAACACAGACGGAATTTGGCTGTGTTAATTTAAAATGAAAAAAAGGATAACGGTATAACTATTATAAGAACAACTATAATAATTATTTGGATTTCCGTAAATGAATTTAAAGTTCCACGGCAATTACAGTGGTAGCAGCAACATGTCAGGTGACATACATGTGTCACAGTAGATTTATGTGAGGAATACTTGAGAAAACAAATGCTTGACTGACAAGTTGAGGAGCAGGACAAAGTCAAAGCAGTAAGAGGGTGTGAAACCACACTTAAATTGTTCAGCTGTACTGAAATGACATTGTAACAATGAGAGGCGTAATGACCAAGCCTTACTGCTAAAGAATATGTATAATCAAGGCCAGAAAATGAAACAGTAATAAGAAATATAAAACAATAATTTAATATGTAAATGATTCATGGACAACGTTTTTAAAGCATGTTGCAATAACAATAATATGTTTCCAAGGTCTGTTTTGTAATGTGAGAAGTGTCTTTTATATACAATGGACTATGAAACCGGTCTAAAACTCTTTTTACGAGAACTAGATGAGAACATCCTGGTTACCTCATTAGAATGTAATGTGCTGCACGTCCTGTTTACAGACAAAGAAACTACAGTAGAAAAACCTGACAACCAGTTTTCACTCCTCAAGGAGAGTAGTCTGACAACTGACACAATCAAAAAGACTTGAGAGTTTTTAAAGATTTTGAAATTTTAAAGGTTTTTAAGTTTAAAAAAGTTAAAATAAGAAATAAATCATGAATAAATCAATGAATCTTCTGTTACCATTTTATTTCTTTAAGTAATTGTGCATCTGTCTCTTAGCCTTTTATGATACACCCACGGCTTCTGGAAAAACTTCTAGTTCCTTCTGGCAAATTTTGGGCTGTACGTCACACAGATAAATATCAATTTCAAATAAACAAACCACGACAAAAGACAAAAATGTCGGGTAATCCGGTAGAAAATCAGGATATAGAGAAAGAACTGATCAGTAGCTACAACTGATAACAGTATCATTAGCCTCAGGAGGTGGTTGGTTTGAGGTGATTTTCTTTCCTTCAAATTCTCGTGTACATGTTACTAATAAATAAGGTTACTATTAAGTAAGGACAAACGAGAAAAGTAAAATGTAAAAAAACAAAAACAAACAGAAGGCGATATCTTTGACCAAAGTCTTTTAAAAACATTTTGGTGAACATCAATGATGAGAGTCGGAGAAAACTTTTTCATTATGAGTAATGTTTACTGTTAGTGGTCGAAATGCTTTGACTTAATTATTGTTGTGGAGACGTCAAAAAGAAAAGCTGCCCTGTAACTATTAGCATGACAATGTAATCGCTGGCTGATGCCAGAAGAGTTCATCAGGGGTATGATTGTTGTTGTGCTGAACAACATCAACTGGCCCATAAAGATGCAAATGGAAGAAGGATAATGCCAGTAACAAAGCAGGAAGACCTTAAAGAATTGAAAAGCAGCAGAACAGATGGCAGTGATATCAGGGCAGATGTTGGCTCAGGGAACACCAGTGTGTAGAAGCAATTTTAAAAAGTTTATATTCAATGAAAAACAAAACTAAGGGAGCTGACTTTGAAGAAGAAGAAAGAGGAACTAACAACACAGCACAGTGCAGTGGCATCCTCAAAAATATCACTTTAAACAATGCTTTGCTTCTGTAGAGTGGAGCTCTGCACATTGACATTGGATCATTTCCTCATTGTTCTTTAGTTCCCAGTGTCTTTTTTATCTTATCTTCAAATCTATCTTTCTATCTTGTCCTTCCCAGTCCTGAAATTCTTTACCAACTGTTTACAGATTTTTCTGTATAGCATTTAAATGTAAAAGTTATCTATAGTTAAGTAAAGTCTCCAACTACTACTACTACTACAATTACTTAATAATTTAAATAATAATGAAAAACAACAATAACAATAGGGAAAAAGAAGAAGAAAATAATGGAGGAAGCAGAAAAGAAAATAGAAGATGTAAATAATAAATAAGAAAGGGAATAAAACAGAAGACAAAATAAAAAAAAAAAAAAACAAAATAAAAAATTGAAGAAGAAAAAAACCTGAATAAGCACAGTGGAAAATGTAA